TTTTTTTTTAAAACGTGTGTGATATATATTAAATTACGGAAACAGAGTATGAAAATCCAACATCCACCAGAACAAAGAGAAAACACAAATCTCAAAAAAACTTATAAGAACATCAATGCCCAATGACAATGGCCAATCATGTTACATCCTTGCTTCCAAAGCAATCCGATCTTGCAACCATGAAGGTCTTTCAAGGGCTAAATATGAATTAAGTCTTCCATCCCAAAGAACACTTTGTGATATGGCTCGAGTAATGGAGTTAGCTCCCATCGATTCCATCTCAAAGGAACACGAAACAAAGCCCAGCCGAAGCGTAGAGATTTGAGCTACTAAGGCTCTATACCGAGGCCAATTGGCTGGTTTATGCATAGCATCGAAGACTGGTTGATAGTCTAACCCAATCACAATCTCCCGTATTCTTAGATCTCTCAAACTTTGTAGCGTCCACGTAAAGCACCGGAGTGAAAGCTTGTCTTGCATGAAAACGCACATTTCGGTATGATCACGGACAAGTCAAGCTCCACCACTATGGAGTGTGTCATTACGCCAATTTGAATGCAGATTGCATTTGAGGATACCCTGTATCGGTAGAGACCTTCGATGAATTAAGAGAGAAATTATTTAGTGTATTAATAAAAGATAAAATAGAAGTTTTAATATTTTTCTTAATTTGTGTTTAGATGTTTAAAATGACACTTTTTCAGAAATAGAAAGAGTAATAAAACTCGGTTATAAATATTTCTAAGAATCAATATTCATTTTGTGTGTATTTATACCAGATTTCCTCGGGTGTTAAGTGTTAATTGCCCTAACCCAAAAAACAAGTTCTTTGTCTGAGAGTTTCTGATTAGATCTGAGCTTTGGCCGGCGGCGTTGGGCTTCCATAGCCACGTCGCCGACCCGATTTGTGTTTTTATGTTTTCTTTGAACATGTTTAGATCTATGTTTCTAATGTATCGGATCGGTATCCGGCTTGACCAGTTTACTTTTCCGGCGTAGTCCGGTTTACTTTTCTGGCGTGGTCCGATTTTTTGTCTTAAGATCTCTATCGTTCCTTGTTTTCATGTCGTGTTTTCCGTTTTTCCTCTAAGTTTTTTTCGATTTTTCCAATTATTTGTGGAATAATATCTTCGTCACTATTCCTCTGCACAAGACGCATGAGCAGTTTCGGATTGAAGATTACATCAACTATTTGGGTGTAGCGGTGATGGAGCCTCCAAGATATTGGTGATTTTGAAGAAATTTTAGCGGTGGTTTAAGTGGTAGATTCAGATTGCATACGACGCTTTAGGAGGTGGTTTAGAGATCAACAGAAGAGAGGAGAACAGTCATCGCTGGCCGATTGGTGGCGACTACTCGGAAACTGGTGGTGAAGAGTTCTGGCGGTGCTTCAAGATACGAGTAATGGTTTCGAGAAGATTGTCTTTTCTTACTTACGCGTTTTCGTTTTTAGATTTGGGCTGGACTTTATTATTCCTCTTGAATTTCTGTAATGGGTCTTTGGGCCTTTTAATAGAACTCTGTTGTCGAAAAAAAAAAAACTGCCCTAACCCAAATATTTATTACATTACATCAATGAAAAGCCATTCCGATGATTTGTTTGTTTTAACTGTTTTCTCAATTTCAAAGGCTGCAATGAGCAGTTGCAATTAATTACGCTGGTATGAACAGTATCAGTAATTTTGACCTAACCCACACCTCTCCTCTGCTCTCCTCTCCTCGGTCAAATATAATTGTAAAGATGGAATTTATTGTAAAGATGGAATCTATTAAAAAAAAACAGAGACACATTTATTGTAAAGATGGAATTTTATAAGGAAAAGTTGAGAGAAATAGACAAAAGATAATAAATGGGTTGCTTGGAATCGTGGCAATGTTGGTTGCACACTGCACAGAGCACAAAGTTTCATAACAGAGGTAATGTTGCATGTGGCCCCTTCTTCTTACTAAAGCTCCTTTCTTAACTCTTTTGTCTCCACATTTTTCCACTCTTTTCTCTTTTTTTTTTTCTTTTAAAAAACAAAACCAGTTTTCAAATTGGATATTCCGATAAAAGATATTAATGTTATCTGCTCCTTTACTACTATTTATTTTTCTTTTTTTTTTCCAGCAGAGAATAAGTTTTTCAAGAAACAGTAAGATGGAATGCATATATATGTCAGCTTTATTAGTCTTCTATTAGAGGCTATAAAACATAGTCAATTTAATAATCTTTTCTTATTTACTCCTTAAACTTAGTGAAAGTTACGCATGTCTTTTTTGGTTGTCAACAATGAAAACAGAAAATATATTTTCTTTTTAACCCATGTAAAAACAAAGTCTAAAGCCAACAAAACTATCTAAAGGATAAACATTTAAAAGATAGAGTAGAGACACTGTAATAAGAAATAAGAAAAAGAAGAGTATAATTTTGTTAAAAAGTAAGTAAGAAGAAGAAGAGTAGCTAAGCCAACTTTACTTTTTATTTTCACTTACCCTACTGGATTTTAAAAACACTCTCTCTCCACAATCTCAGTACACAGTCTCTCTGCCCTCTAACCGATACTCTCTCTCTAACCTATAGTCTCTCTCCTACCAGTAGACTTTAAGGCAACTTTGTCTGAGTGTTGAGTAAGAGCAACTCCAATGGGACTGTATCCCACCAAATTTGGTGTAATGAGAACTCCAACCGAACGGCATAATGGACTGCAAATTTTTTTGTTTGGTGTTTTGTGAACAGTGTCACACCATATTTGGTGTGGCACTGTTCACAAAACACCAAAAAAAAAATATTATTTTATTTGTATATTTTATAAAGTATTGTAATTAAATTGTGATTATTCAACTAAAAATAAATGTACTAGTAACAAATTTTGTACT